GTCACCTCTCAGTGATCAGATTTTTAACACCCTCTGGTGTTATCCAGAATGCTAGTTTAGTTGTTTGGAACCAGGTGTGCCCCACTTGGGGCCTCCAGGCCGTCTGAGTCTCGGGTTGGCTGTTAACGCAGTCCATCATCTTTGTAGATGACAGCATCATATCGCAATATCAAAAGGTTAGACAGCTCCATCAGATTTAGACCGTCCGCCTTCCGAAAACAGGGAGATGTGCGGTGAGTGACAGCTGTGTTAGGGAAGAAGCCCGATGCTGTATGGGATTGATCACGGCTTCACACTCAACGCTGCTTCACACAGTGATGCATTCGTCTCTCTTTTGTATTTGAGACAACACACATAGCTCGGTCCATTTGTTTTTCAGATCCCTTTTCAGTAAGTATCTAAGTCTCAGAATACTTGAGGCTTAGGAATTTATCAAAGAAAGACGTTTGCTTAGCCCTGTGTTTCTGGGCTTTGGGAAGTCCACGGTTGAGCAACTGCATCTGCCTTCCAATATGGGAGAAGTTGCTGGGTGAAACAGGTGCCATCAGGAGAGATCGAGGCGTAGGGGCAGCCTTGCTCCTGAAACAGCTGACACCGGAATAGCGACCACTCACTCGCCTTTGTGAGAATCAACCCATTTCTCTAAGAAATCTGCTTAGTAGGCCGTAGGAATAAATGAGTGAAGGCAGTTAGACCCTGAGAATAACAAAGTGCTTAGCAAACCTCTCCCGAGAGTGAGGCAGTGTGCCATCCTGCATGTTACTCAGCACACAAGAAGGTAACTGCTCTTTCTCTGTCTTTGAATACAAGGTAGGGCCAGAGAAGCTCTAATTTCGACCCTGGCAACCAGTGTCCTGATGCTTTCACCTTCAGCTCTGCTGGATTTCGTAGAATTCTGCAAGCATGGGAGCCAGTATTGGCCAACGCTACTGGAACCATCCATCAGTGTCCGGATTTGACCTTTTTCAGGAGCTTCTTTGGGGAAAGCAATACATTCCAATATTACACCCGCGCTCAGGAACTTCTTAGGCACGCAGCCAATTATTAGCTTTCCTCGGCTGCTACAGGTGCCCCAGTCCACCACACTGATCCGTTTGCAGTGGTCGGTGGTGTTTGGATGGACTCCTGGTCAGAAATCCACCCTTATTTTCTAACTGGCTCACTGTTTCCTGCTAAGGGTGTAAGACCCGCTACCCATGGCTAGCGGATGCTGGCAACCATCTGTGCGGCCCGCTGGCCGCACAGTCCAAGCAAACAACCAGTTGCCCCAGATGATGGAGCAAGTGCTCGGAGTAGAACTGGTGTCTCTGATGCGATGGATGGTATCTATGTTTCTGTCTCCATCCTTATCCCTGGACCCCTGCCTTACTCAGGCGCTTTCTTCCCATCTATAAGTTAATTAGCCATTGTGTACCCTCCCTTTTCCTTGCACAAATTACATGTCAGTCTTTGGGCTCAGGATGAGGAGGAGAGGACGAGGGACCTGGCACACGCTTAGAATCCTGCTGCAGGTCCCAGAGCAGGGCTAAAGATTGGGCACCTGATCAGCCCTCTGCCTCTTAACTCTTGAGGGTCTTGAGTGGCCTGGATCTGCCCGTCATGGACGCTGAGCCTTCTTTCTGCCTAGTCACAGAAAGTAGGGCATAGACTTTGGGGCCCAGTAGCTGATTGACCTTTTGTAATACCAAAAGGACTTGAGCGGACCCATGGCTTGCTTGGCCATGTCGGGTGTGAGGAAGCAAGCTAATGTCCTATTCTTGGGGACAGTGTTGGCAGGGATATGATAGGAAAGCAAGCAGCAGTGCCTGCTGCATGCTGGGTCTCTCCCCACCCTCCAGGTCCCCTCAATGTGGACAAAGGAGTCCTGCGTGCGTTCTTATCCTTGGCTCATTTCTGTAGGGGTTGTGCAACTCTCTAAGTTCTGTATGTGAAGGAAAGAGTGAGACTTTTCTACTCTGTGTCCTGAGGCTTTGAAACCCCAGGACTCCATGCTTCCCCACTGAAGCTCCCAGGAGAAACTTAAAGACTTTAGTTCCTTAATTTTTATAGATCATCACGCTTTGTGTGTGGTTAAAAACTTGATTCAAAACACTCATCAATTTGACTGCCCCGGGAAGAGGTCCTTGTTTTTTTTCAGCAGGAGCTAGTGCGCCGTGTGATTTTTGTGTTCTTGTCCGTGTCCTGTTACCAAAGAGAGAACCCACTTAGAAGCCAACAACTCAGCCAGCCACACCTATTTATTGTTCAGGGTTGGATGGCCTCTTTCAAACACTGTCTGTTTGGTCCTGCCATTACACATTGCTGTCCCCCACCCCACCTCAGCGTTGAGCAAACCAGGGCTATGTGTTCCCTTAAGCCACACACCAGTTTGTCCTCCTTGGATAACTGTAGTGCCGTAAGAAGCGGGGAGACCTTTCTTGTTTTCATCCTGTTAGGGGCCATCTAAGAAGTTAACTCTCAAACATGCGCTTGGAAGCATCGATAATACCGGGCATGTCAAAGTATTCTGAACTCTGCAATGACTCTCTCATTTTACACCAAGACAGAGCGGCTCAGAGAGCTGAAGTTCTTGCTGAAGCTCCCCAGAAGGACTTGCAAAGCGGTAGCGGTAGGCTGTCCCCAGCCTGGTCTGATAAGAGCCCACCAACATCCAGGAAACTATGCTCCTGCCCTTTTAGGGTCACAAAGCGATTGCAGTGTGACACTAAGGCTAAAAGTACTTTCCTGGTAGAAATGCCAATGGTGCGTGGGTGGCTGCTTGCTCAGTGCAGAGGTGCTGGGGACAAAAGGGTATCTTTCTGAGTCCGCCGCTAGTCAGCAGGACATTTCTGGGGAGGGGAATTCACCTCCATCTGCTGGTAACTGAACTCTGGGCACTGGCTGAATTAAACCACCCCTCCTTGTTTGGGAGGTGGGAAGTCAGTCAGCCTTGCAGGCCTGTGGTACTAGCACATTCAAAGGAAGAATGTGACTGACAGCCAGAGGGCCTCAGATGAGCAAATTATGGGTACCGTGTCTCTGGAAGAAAGAGGGGGAGTTTTTTTTTTAAAAGAGGAATACAAGCTACAAACCATGCCCTCTGCTCCCAGCTCCATGGCAAGGCCAGTTGGCCCGTTGCTCCTATTGTGAGGGCAAATTCCCCATGGAACTTTCCAGTATCTTTTTTGCTGAGTCAGTGCTGACTAAGTCCAATCTCATTAGAGTCCTTATTGCCAATGTCCTTGGTGGTTTGCAGGAAGGGGAGAGTTTGCTCTACAGGAAAGGGGTCTCCCATAGCACATGGATTTGTGTAATGTGTCTTTCTCTGGGCACCAACCACACTTTGATGTCATTATCCCTGGAAGGGCAGAAGGCCTGTCAGAGTTCACTGGCCAGACACCAGGGCCTGCTTGGGACTTTGCAGGTAACTAGGAAAGTTCTCCCTTGGCTCCTAGGACCTAGCCCTTCCATGCTTTGTTCTGGACACTACTCTGTCCCTTCTGGCTACCCCCTGTAGCTGTTTCTACAATCATTGAGGTTAGGATTCTCTGTAGAGTGTAGGTGAAGTTTTCCTATCCTAGCAGCTGTTTCCCGAATAACCCACACTGAGACTTAATATTACTTATAAATTCTTGACCTGTAGCTCAGGCTTGTTACTAGCTAACTTGTACATTTAAATTAACCTGTGTTTCTTACCTACACTCTACCATGTGGATTAGTACCTTTTCTCAGCACTGCATGCTCATCTTGCTTCTCCCTGGGTCTGCTGGTGACTCCTCAGACTCCGCCCCTCTTCACTCCAGCATTCTCTCTGTCTCAGGCTGTCTCACCCAATCTCTTGCCCAGCTATCCGCCAATCAGCTTTTCTATTCACAGTTAGAGCAATGCATATTTATGATGTACAGAAGGATTATCCCACAGCAGGAGAGGGTATTCTTTGTTGTTGTTTGCATAATTCACGATGCCTACAAATCCCATGATGCTAGGTGAGTGCTTTGGCACCAGTGAATGAGTCCATCCGATGCAGCTTCCATGGCCCCCAGCATTCCATTGCATCCACAAGGGGCTAGGCACTGGACACAGGCTGTTATCAGAAAGAGGACAGGGTTCTTTTTCCTCATCTCCTAGAACTCTTGCAGTCAGATGAGTGAAAATGCCAGTAGGGCGGGGAACATGATTGATGGGTGATGACCTGGCAATCAGTGAGACCAGCCGTCAGCTGTGGCCTGGTTGCCTATGTGACTTAGGAACATAAAGAGATCAAAACAGGAGGAAAAAAGGACTCACAGGGGCTTGGCACTAAGAATTTCTCACTGATCACTTTTTTTTTTTCCTAAGAGGGTCTACAAAATGGCTCATTGGTAAAGACACCTGTTGCTAAGCCTGATGAACCGAATTTGAGCCCTAGAACCTAAATGGTGGAAAAAGAGAACTGACTCTCACCCATTGTATTCTGGTTTCCACATGTGTATGCCCATACATGTGTATGCTCCAAGAAAAATGAAAAAGGAAAAAAAAAAACAATTGGTCAATAAATGTCTTTTTTTTCTTTGCTTCTTGATTTTTTTTTTATTATGGCACTGACTGGACACAAATACACGGTTCAGACTAGCTTCAACTCAAGGAAGTCCTTAACTTTGTCTCCCAAGTATAGGATTATAGGCTCTTTCTATCACAGTTGGCCCAGCTTTTCCTTCCCTTCCTTTATTTATTTACTTAATTAATGAACCTATTGTTATTTTGTGTGTGTGTGTGTGTGTCTGTCTGTCTGTGTGTCTATGTATGTCGGTGTGTGCATGGAGGTCAAAGGATAACCCATTAGAGTTAGCTCTCTTGCTCCACTATGGGGGTTGTATCATTGAATTCAAGTTGTCTGGCTTGGGCAACACCTGTCTTTACAGCTGAGCCATTTTGGCAGCTCTTAGTTTTTATTATTTTTTTTTAAATGAATGAGATACCACCTTCCCCAATCTGTTCAGCATGATACTAACCCATCTCTTCCCTCTTCTTGCTTATCCTAGCATACCTGTTCAGCATTCCAGAAGGATTTGAGGATCATCCTTTTCTAAAATAAAGCCGGAGTATTTGGAGGATTTGGAAAATTGAGGTAAGTGAGGAATGGTCTCTTTCTGAGCCTTGTGGAAACAAAATTTAACTCTGGGAATGGATAGTCTCTGTGGCAGAATTTGGTTTTAGTGTTCTTTTTTTTTTAAATATTTATTTATTTATTATGTATACAATATTCTGTCTGTGTGTATGTCTGCAGGCCAGAAGAGGGCACCAGACCTCATTACAGATGGTTGTGAGCCACCATGTGGTTGCTGGGAATTGAACTCAGGACCTTTGGAAGAGCAGGCAATGCTCTTAACCACTGAGCCATCTCTCCAGCCCTTTAGTGTTCCTTATAGGTCTTCCTGTGGCAATTAAAAGAGCTTGAGAAGCTGGCTTCCCATTCATCTATGCCTTGCTCTCTCTCTCAGCATTTCTTCCATTTGTTTGGCCACAGTGTCTAGCATATGCTCCCTGCTCTAAACAGGAGAGCCCACTGCCTCCTAGGAGAATCAGTTGTGTTGATTTGCTGTGGACGACTGCCCTGGGAGAGCAGCAGAAAGTGGGATAGGGTCCTGTAATGAGGTCAGAACACACTTGGGGCACCCAGACTGTGAGATCTTCCTTTTTGCCTCTCATCATCTGTGTTTTCTCCTCTAACACCATCCTGTGTTGGAATCCCACTAAATCTGTGGCTACCCAGGTAAGGCTAAGACATAAAGCCCAAGGGCTTCCTACCAACCTATGTTTTCCCGTTCTACCTGTCTGTGCTCCATTGAGTCTTGTTGAGCTCAGAGTATTATTTGGTAGAACTATGTATCCCATGAGTTTCTTCCAGCTCAGGAGCAGTGGACACTGGATGAAAAGAAGGCTCAAGCTTAGTGAGTTATCAGCCATGCCAGAGGAAAAATGCCTCAAAAACAGAAGAGGATTTTTCTTGATTAATGACTTACAATTTATCAACGACAGCATGCCTTTATATGTCAGACCGTTAAAAGTTTGGGTCTGCTGTTGTCTCTGTCTTTTTCTTAGCACCAAGCCTGTTTGGGCAATAACCTGTGAATCAATCTCCAGTGACTCTTAAGCAGAGCTGAGTGCTCCCTAAACCGGACCACAGCAGGCAGTGTAAGGAATGAGCAGTCCTACTGTGGCTTCTGCAGCCGGGTGTAACTTCCATCTCTCCTCTGGCCGCTCCTCGTCACCCGAGAGCTTTATCAGAGTTAGGGTAGTCTTGTTTATTCCACGACTCACGCAGTCCCCGGTCCAGGGCAGGTCTCTCAATGGATGTGAAAATGATGAAACGCAGCAGGGGAGGATGCTAGACGTTCATACGCGCATAGCAACGTGCTAGCCTTTTGTGTTCAGCACTATTCCCTGCTGCTCCTCGAAGGCTGCCCTATTCCCAAATGGGAGGAAAGGGCAGAGGGAGTCCAGTCAGCAGGGCAGAGACCCCCCCCCCCCCCCGAGAGCTGAGCAGTTGCCCCTTGCTGCCATGGCGGTGGAAATAAACGGTGTCACCTACTTTCGGTGAACAGAGGAATGCCCTGGCAAGTCTGTGTGCTGGTGGAAAGGGAAGCGTTTTCCTAGAATTAAGTTGCTAGGTGCAGGAAGACAGAGCAGGGATTGGGGTTCTCAGGCTCACGGTCCTGGGGCAGAGGTGCTCTGTATGAGTCCCAGTGCCCATATTAGTATTCATGCACCTGGTTCTGTTTGTGTTGAAAACGCTGCTGTTGCACCACGAGCCTGTCTGCCTATGGCCTGCTTCCGCCAGTAGGACAGCCATCCTTTCCTACTCATGCACCTGGCCCCTGTGAAATGCAAGGGCCAGGACCTTGGAGTCCTTCTCGCTTGAAAAATAGACCAGTGCCCACTGGGTATAGAGAGCCACGAGGATCACAAAACCTGGCTGGAAGAATAGCTTCAAATGGGAAGACTTATTTCTTGAGACTCTTTCTGATGGCTTGCTTGTCTGGCTTCAGACCTCAGTATTTTTCTCTCTCACCCCACCCCACCCCACCCCACGAGTATCACTTTGGGCATGCCAGAGGATGGGCTCCTCCCCTTCTGGTTGCTGCTCTGGATTGAGTATGTCCCTTAAGAGTTCATGAGTTGAGACATTAAGTCCATGATGTACATACAGTATTAGAGAGAGCAACACCCAGGTGAAGTGTGAAGCCCTCATGAATGGTCCTCTCCCATTAACATAGAATAGGTGCAGGAGGTCGTCCCTCTCTTCTTCTTGTGGATGAATTCACATCCCTTCTGTCTCAGTTAGGGTTTCTGTTGCCCAAAGAGCAAGTTGGCTAGGAAAGGCTTGATTAGGCTTATACTTCAGCATTGCTGTTCATCACTGAAGGGAAGGCAGGACAGAAACTCAAACAGGGCAGGAACCTGGAGGCAGGAGCTGATGAAGAAGCCATGGAGGGGAGCTTCTTAGCGGCTTGCTTCCTATGGCTTGCTCAGCCCACCTTCTTATAGAACCCAGGACCAGCAATTCCGGGATGGCACCACCCACCATGGACAGGGCCCTCTCCCATTGATCACTAAATGAGAAAATGCCTTACCGCTAGATCTCAAGAAGGCATTTCCTCAACTGAGGCGCCTTCCACTGATGACTGTAGCTTGTATCAAGCTGACACATGAAACCAGTCCATACACCTTTGTACCCTAAGATACGTTCCAGACACCAACCAGATATAGTTATCTGGTCTTATACTTTTTTTTTTTTTTAGAATCATGAGCTAAAATGGATCCCCTTTTTTATTAATAAACAATCAGAACTAAAGGCGCTGTACAGAAAATAGACAAAAGACACAGCTGAGTGGCTTGTTGGCCTTTCCCCTGTCCTTTTGCCCTCAGCCCCCTCCAGCTTCTCTTTCCCCGTCTACTATTCTTAGTTCTATGCCTACTATGCCCTTATTGACCTCCTTTGGCTCTCGTGCTAGGACGTCTGTGGGCTTCTGTCTTCCTGCCTTTAGACATGAGCCCACAGTACTCATTAGCCACACGGTACACGTGGAAAGAGTGTGTCCTTTGTTCTGTGTTCACAGTCGGAAGAACTCCTGGCCCTCCTGTGCTCTACCCTTGTCAGCATGACTTTTCTAGCCACCCCCAGGATTGGCCCATTTGTCTATTGCTATTTCTTGTGGTTTCATATTGAGGTTTTGGTGCATTGCATTTGACCCGGAGTATATTTTTAGTACTAAAGGCAGAGTTCAATGAACGTCAAAACACGAAGGCAAATGAAGAGGAGGGATTTGTATGTCTAGGGAAAAGAAACATGCCTAATTTTATCTCTTCTGATGGCGTCTGCCTCTGATTATGCCCGGTCACCGGCTTTTCTCAGTGATGCCCATCGCTGTGGCTTCTGTAGAGGTGTGAGCAGCAGCTGGTCCTGCCCCTAAAGACAGTGTCACAAAGCATTTGTGGGTGTCGGTCCAGCAGCTGGCCACACAGAGGACCATGCATCCCAGCTGTAACTAAAGCAGGAATTAGTACCAGAGTAAAGGCCTGACTGTGGGATTTGCAGGGCCTGTTACTGTATCTGCAAGCTCTAATTTGCCTTGCAGAAGCAGGCTCATTTTTCTTGGTCTTCAGCCCTTCTTCCAGGATAATACATATTTAGTAAAGGCTCTAGATCTTCTCTCACTAACCTGACCCTTTGGCATCAGCACAGACTCAGAGGACATGCCTGGGGACTCTTGGGTTGACAGAATTTCAGAATTCTGACTTTGGCCTTCAAAGTAAAGATTATACCCCTTTCCAAGCAATCGCTTTCCTGTCTGCTTCCAGAGGCAAAGCAAGCCTTGCCATCTGCTTTCTTTTATTGCACAAGTCTTTATTTTTTTATGGCTCTGTATTTACTGAGATGCCGCAGCATGCCACTGTGCAGGGTGCCACTGTGCAGCGTGCCACTGTGCAGGGTGCCTGCAGGTCTGGAGAAAGAGCTGCTGTTCTTGTACCTAGGGATTTCCCAAGAGCATGGCTACCATTTCCCCAGGCTGGAGTCTGGGGGAGATTGCATGGCCTGAGATCAAGCTGCTAGTTATGACCTTCACATGAGAGCACAGGGCTTCTGAACCTAGCCCTGAAACCAACCGGGGCCAGCCTGATGCCCTGTCTCCTGTCTTCTTCTCCAACTGTGTGCCACATCCCTTCTTCTCCCCTTACTTCTCCTGCCCTCCTTTTCTGCCTCCTCTTTCCCTCTGCTCCCAGTTCGGTTTCTTCTGAAGATGAACAGCTTTCTCTACAGTGCTTTTGTGGGAAGTGATCCAGTCATAGAGAGCCGGGCTTGGGACTTGTGTGACTTGCCTTGAGACCTTAGCCTCAGCTCTTATTCTGTCTGTTAGTACCTTTTGTGATGATGGCAGGATGTTCCGGTTCTTTCCTTGTCCTGCTCACCCTTCTTGTGACAACTTAGGGGCTGTCGCAGGTTGAGGTGCTAACAGCAGATGACCTGTTTTCTCTATCATTGAAATATACCAGGTGTATTATTCGGGATGCGCTGGTGAAATCAAACCAGTGGACAGTGAAGAGAGATGTGTATCTCTGTATCTCTGTCTCTATGGAGAAGAGTTTGTCTTTCATTTAAGCATTGACTCACGCCATAGAGGTGATGACGTATCTATGATCTGCAGTGTGTATCTGGAGACTAGGAAACCGGTGATATGCACAGAGGAGCCAAGTTATACATCGTCTCTGTTCAGGCACCCAGGCAGAGATAGAAGGCAGCTCAATCTACCTGCCTCCTTATTCAGCTTTCTCGTCACCACTGGGTTCTGATTCTGGGCGAGCTGGGTGATGCCCACCCACACTGGTCAAGCCACCCATGGCAGTCACTCTTCTTCCCTCCTTGTCTGGAAACACCATCACCAAGTTTTCTTAGAAGTACCATTAATGGTTTCTCCTAGCATCTCCTGTCCCAGCCAAATTGACACACTGGGTAGACACAATGTATCTAACTATCCAAGTATCTCCTGGCCCAGCCAAATTGAAACGCTGGGTAGATACAATGTATCTAACTATCCAAGTATCTCCTGGCCCAGCCAAATTCCTGTC